TGGCAACAAGCTCCCAAAACTTAATAATTTTAACAGTGCGATAAGGCCTTAGATCCTTTACTATGAATCTGGCCATTCTAGTTGTAATATCATGTGCTCTCTGTGATGTTGACTTGTATTTGTTCACATTCCCAAACATACCAGTGATTTTCTGTTCTACTTTTGTTTGCCAGAGCTTGTAGCATCAGTGGTACTATCACAGTACTGTACATGTTAATGTTTTATTGATTTTCATCAAGTGAATGATGTCTACAAATATGCTCTGTTAAATTTGGAGTTCAACTGCCAGTATATTTCACAACTGTGACAAACTGCAACATTTTCTTCAGTTACACCATCAGATTTCTCATTCTTTAACCCAAAATTATTCCACACATTAGCTTTTGCTCTTGTGTTCTCTACTATTTCCTATTTGTCCTCTATCCTTGTTTACCTTGCCCAGTCATGTGACAATCATGTGAGATGCAAAAATTAAAGAACAAAAGTACAATTATTTGTTAAAATTATGCCTCTTCATGTTTATTTTTATAATTGCCCAAAAAATCTATTTAATTTCATATTTAAAGGATAAACTTATTCACTTGATTTTACTTCCATTAGTTTAAATTCAGCTTATAGGTAGGTTATAAATCAGGCTATAGACATTGTATTATTACATAAAAATCAACTAAAGTAAAAAATAGTTATTTGTCATTTCTATATTTTAAAGATAAATTTAATTACTTTAATGTGAAGATAAAGTAGTGATAAATTATTGTAATATATTTGATTCTCAAATGTTAGGCTTAACAGTGTTGTAAATAGGTTATTTGTATTTAGCATTGAGTATTTATTCCCAGACTACAAATACAATGGTTAAGACTAGTGTAGGAGTTAGGCACTCACAGTTTGTTAGATGTGATGGATGTAATAAATGGGTTTTATTTGGGAACTCCGGACTTTTAAGAAAGCAGGCAGTGAAGATGTGCTATTTCTTTGCAGAGTTTGCATTTTGTAGGAGAAATTGAAGGCTATCTTAATTAGAATAGTGACAGTAGATAAATAGAAGTGTAAATTGTGAGAAATGGTAGTAAAATTTCAAGATGAACTTTAGCTTTAACATGCAAGGGATACATCGGCTAATCACTTTCAGAAAGTTAGAAACAATACTATTAGGACTAGAAGTAGTTGGTTTAATTGTAATGAGCATGTTGAAGCCATGTTCTGTTGAGTAACAGATTTCAACCTTTAGCTTGTACAAATAAACTATTTGAAGAAAGGAAAACAAAAGGGACAAAGAAGGATGTGAATAATAAACTTAAGAAAGTTATAGTTATAGGTGATTCTTTGATAAGGTATGTGGATAGGGTAGTCTGTGGAGTAAATATGGACAAAGGAATTAGAATATGCTATCTAATTTGGGGCATGAGTGAAGAATATAACTGACAGAGCAAGAGATATAATAAAGGGGGCTAACAATGATGCAGTCTATGTGCACATGGGGGCTAATGATATAGGAAAAGGAAGGTTAGAGGAGCTAATTAACAAGTACAAGGGGTTGATAAAGGCATTTAAAGAAAAAGGCCATAACTTATGTCAGGGATGCTGCCTACAATTAACTGTGGGGATGAAGTTATAAGTATGTCACTAGGGCTAAATGTTAGGTTAGGTTATTATATAAGGTTGAGCAGATTGGCTGTTTGAACTTGTGGGATCAGTTCAACAGAAGAAGGGTTTACATTTAAATAGGATATGGGCTTGCTTGTTTGCTAGGGCTATTAACTCAGCTGTAAGGGAAGATTTAAACTAGAAATAGACAGTGGTAAGAGCCAGGATAAACTAAATGCAAAAAGAATAAGAGGCAGAGAAAAGTTTAGCACAGGAAATGAGCATACAAGTAGTTATGATGGGAATAACTGAAACATTGTTAAATGTAGACAATTTTGATAACAGAAATTTATAAGGCTTTATATGTAAAATGTGAGTTACATTCTGTTGTAGTTCAGGATATAAAAGATAACAGTAATGAGATTGAATCAATTTGGGTTTTTGTTAGCTGATATAAAGTGAAAATTGTTATAGACCAACAGATCACATGTATAAAATTAAGGAGAAACTTTACAGTGAGTTTAAGATTTCGGCTATTAATGAGGTCATAATTATGGGTGATTTTAATTTCAGGCATATAGATTGGGAAATGTAAGAGTCAAACAATGAGGGAGAAAGGTTTTTGAAAATTGTTCAAGATGGTTTTCTTCACCAATTAGTCAAGGAACATACTAGGGAAATGCTATTTTAAATTTATTGTTAACTTCTAATGTAGAAATGGTTGAAGGGGTAGAAAGTTTGGAACATCTGGGTGCAAGCGATCATTGCTCTATTAGATACATTGTTTTGCTGCATATGGAGATCAGGAAAAATATTTTGGTAACAAATTAAAAATAAAGCAAATTTTTAGGAATGCAACAAGAATTAACTGTTGTGAATTGGGCAGCTGAATTATTTGGAGACACTGATCAAATGTGGGAAATTTTTAAATATTCAAGATAAACATGTTCCTTATAGAAATGTAAAAGGGTGGCTGCAAGTAAAAAACTAGGTTGACTCACAAAGGGTATAAGGGATAAATTTTGATAATTGAGAAATTCAAATTGACTGGTATGATGGGAGTTTATAGACAATAACGAGAGTTGGTCAGAAAGGAAATTAGGACATCAAAAAGGATGTATGAAAAAAGGACAGATAAAACTACTAATTTAAGAGTGAGATTTCTTTAAATACAAAAAGAGTAAACAAAATGTAAGGATAGGAGTACGGCCTTTGAAGAAAGATAAAGGAATGATCATATCTGATTATTATGAGATGACTGGGTTATTGAATTTTGCTTTTTCTTCAGTTTTTACTAATGAAGATTTAACCAATATTCCTCATCCTGAAAAGTTGATAGATGGAAGCAAGATGATCATGTTAATTCTGAATTTGTTAAGAAAATTGGAAAGTTTAAAGAAGGCTCCTGGGCCAGGTAATATTTCCCCAAGGGTTTTGAAAGAGGTTACAGATTGAATATTTGAACTACTTGCTACTATTCTTTGTAAATCCTTGAATAGTGGGCTGGTGCTAAAAGATTGGAAATTGACTAATGTTACTCCTCTTTTCAAGGGAGGTGATAAAAATTGACCCAGTAATTAGGCCTATTGGTCATACACACAGTTGTGGGAAAAGTTTTTGAAAGTCTTATAAAAGTTGCTTTGCAAAGTCATTTAACAAAGTTTAGAACTTTATTTGTTTAGTCAATATGGTTTCACTGAAACAAAATTATGCCTTCCAAATCTTTTGACATTCTTTCAAAAGGCTACTGCTCATGTAGATTAGGTTAATGGTGTATCTGGATTTTCAGAAAGCTTTTGCTAAGGTGCCACATAAAAGGCTTGTAAAAAAATGATATCTATAGGTGTGGTGGATAAGTTAGCTAATTGGATAGAAGAGTGGCTGGATGGAAGAAAGCATAGTTATTTATGTCAGTGACATAGATAAAGGAATGGTCAATAAATTACTTATATTTGCTTATGATATTAAGGTCTTGGGTGTTGCTAACTGTGAAGAGTATGCTGCTGCTTTACAAAAGGGTTTAGATCATTCAGTGAGTTTGTCAAATTATTGGCAGATGGGTTTTAATTATAATAAGTGCAAGATAATGCATGTGGGTTATCATAATTTGAATTTTAAGTATAATTTGGATGGAATAATCTTAACACCTTGGTATAGTTGTTGATCAGTCTCTTAAGCCATCCAAGCAGTGTGCTGTTGCTAATGGTAGGGCAAATAGGATTTTAGGTTGTACCTACAGAAATATTGAATACAAATCTAAAGAGGTTATAATTTTGTTGTATTGGTCACTGGTTAGGCCACATTTGGAGTATTGTGTTCAGTCTTTGGCTCCTAACCATAGAAAGGATATTGAATTGTTGGAAATGGTTGTTCAGAGGAGGGCTACTAGGATGATATGTGGAATGGAAAGGTTGTCATATGAGGAGGGGTTAAAATCTCTGAACTTGTTTTCTCTTGAAAAAAAAAAAGTCGGAGGGGATCTGATTGAGATGTTTAAGATTGTTATGGGAATTGTTAGTGTTAACATATCTTTTTTTCATACTTAATGGTGAGAAATGTGTGACTAGGGGACATAAGTATAAATTTTGGTAGGGTTGGAGTCATCTTCAGCTAAAACAGTTTTATTATTCTAACAGGGTATTTGGCCTTTGGAATGAATTGCTTTCAGACGCTGTAGAAACAGTAAATTTAAGTGGTTAAAGGGAAGCTTGATAAATTTGTGAATGATATTAGCAGGCTTTGAGGTTTTATGTATATAGTTTAGTGGATAGAACAGCCTAAATGCCAATAGATCTCTTGTCCCTCAATATTATAATTGTGTTATAAAACTTGTAATTTTTCACTCGGGGCATTCCCTAAGTTCTTCATCCACAGAAATTGTTGAAGTACCAGTATGGCTTGTACTCGAACCAGTTCGTACCACAGTATACCAGTAATACCACACACCTCTAGTTAACATTACAATATAACACAGTGTAAAACAGATTTTATACATATCAGTATCAAAGAATACATTTACACAAATATGAATTAGAAACTTAACACAATGCAAAAAAAACCAGTAAATTTACACTATTTAATGCTAAAGTAGCCCAAGTAGCTTTGCCCTAACTGAAACCTTCACCTGACATATTGAAGTCCACGCCAAATGTTTTGAAGATCAACTATATTTCCCACTAGCTTCTCACAGAAGTGGTTCAAGACCTTCTCGTCAGGGGCACACCATTAAAGCCTGCCATGTGCAAATGTTGAAATTTCTGGAATGCAGATTTAGATGATATGTTTTGTAGCTATAAACAGATAAATATAGCTAAAAGTAATATTTGTTGGCTAAAAAACTTCAGGTGGACTTATACCAGAAAGTTATTGCATGCATTTTTATCGTTTTAATTTTTCCTCTCTCTCTCTTTCAGTTGTCCTCATTATATGAGAGTAAGCCGCCAGTTTCCAAGGCAAAGATGACACAGGTGACGAAAGCTGCAATCAAAGGAATTAAGTTTTATAAACACATAGTTCAAAGTGTTGAGAAGTTCATCCAGAAGGTTAGTGAAGTACTAGTTATAGTTACTGAAGTAATCTTAATACATTGCTTGTTTCTACAAGGAAATTAATACTAATTTCTGATAAGAACAAACTACTGACTCAGAGCAACAATAAAAAAATTAAAAATTTGAATGATCCCATAAACCACCATAAAAAACAAAATATATCTAAATTACCCTTTTTTTTCCTAGAATGACTTCAAATTGTAACAGTATACATCTGTTTCTACTTATATTTTATTTGTCTTATCGCCCTTTGAACTGTATCATATTAATAATCCCACTACAAAAGTAGTAAATCACTTGGCAAATGTGTAACTCATGTTACTCTATCAGACAGGCTACTTGTGAGCATACCTCATGAAAAATTTAATTTTTTATTTTATTTTATCTAATCTAACCTTATCTTAGTTTCTAATTTTTACATTTTAGTTATTTTATAATTATAAATAAATAATTTCTATGGAAAACAAGAAATATAGTACTTACCTGTTTGTTTTCTGTTGATTGTCGATGAAATTTACTAATGTACAAAAATTTTTAATTAAATAATGCATCTAAGTACATAGAATAAAAACTAATAAAAAGCAGATAAGGACAATGTCTTATAACTATTGTAATTTTCCTGGCTTTCTAACTGTGTGATAAGAGCCGTTAAAAATTCGGCTAAGCTTTTTGATGGGTTTCTCATGGGGATAAAGTTTGAAAAGGAAATGAAATAGACATTTCTCTGTAGAAAACACAGTGTCATGTAATACATCATTTGATATATTAAAACTTTGGCTTTCTATTGCTTATAAGTAATATAGTATTAAATGTCAGAGAGAACTATTGCCAATTTGTGAAAGAGATGGTGTGACAGGTGGGTATGGCAAGAGGGTTCTAATTTTCTAGTTTTCTAGCTTTCTATTGCTTATAAGTAATATAGTATTAAATGTC